TGATACAAATTGTGTTATTGTTTATACATAGAATAAAAATTCTTATAAAATTGTGAGTATTTATTAATTCAACATATTTATACTAGTAAACATTTTACATATTATTAGATTTGTTGAATTCTGTTAATTTGCATTTCAATTTGCAATGTACAACGAAAGATCAATTGTTGAGAGATTTGTATGTATTTTGTATATTAAAACTTCCGTAAACTATGTTTCAAACCATAAAGTTCACTGCTGAACATGTTTTAGGTTATATTCACAATGATGCTATTTACAGTAACCCATTCGACAAACATTGACCATCGTATGTTTTCACGTAAGAATGTCTAAGCATATGTACTTAGTGATATTCATTAAATCCATTTAAAATATTGATTTCTGAAAATTTCTGTATAACAGTTGTCTTCAAAGTTTAGTTGTTTGCAACGTTTAATGAACAACAGTCCTACATTTACCCTGATTCTCACAAATTGTACGTAACTTGATAACTAGTTAAATTTTTAAATTTCATATTAGTTAAAATCTAATGAATAAAAATAATAAACATTTTACACAGAAAAATTAATGATTCATCATAATTTAATTACTTTAACATTATTTAGGGATAAAATACTAAAATACTAATTTACTTTAATAATTTTCTGTTTCAAAGTTTGTAACAGTTTATAAGTCCATTTATCTTATCCTATCTATGAAGTATTTACATTCTAAATATAAATGACTGCTAATTCTAAATATAAACTATTCTTTTTGTTGAACAATACTTCATTGGATATGAAAAATATTAAAAATATAATGAATATGTATATTATGCAAAGATGCCTTCATTTTGTATATTTAGTACAGGATAATTGTTAAAAGACAATTTTTTTAAAATGATATTATTATCTTTTTCTCTAAGTTATCTGAGTTTAATGATGTATGAAACAACGTCCATTAATATCTATAAGAAAATTAATTTTTTTTATGCTGCACAATTTGAATTGTGCAAACAAATATGTAAGCACGTAATTTTATAACATAAAAAATAAGGAATTAAAATGTAAAATTCTTTATTTTTCGATTTTGTGTTGATTACGATGATTGTTTTGATATTCTAGTCTTAATTTTTTTACAATAAATTTACAACATTCTTTTCTTCTAACTGCAAGTAATATGGAACAAATATAAATTTAAAAAAATGGTGCAATTATTTTTTTTATAAGAAGTTTTAAACTTTCGATTTATATTATTGCTTGATGTCACTGCTTTCAAATATACACGTTTATAGTTCTTGGTTTAATATTAGTTTCTGAGTGAACATAAATGTCTAAATTAAATGTCCTTCTTTAATACATTTCTTCTCGTGAATGATTGTCGCGATGGTAGCACGCCCAAGTATACCTACTTCGAATTTGCTACACCGTTGTAATCGTATAGATGACTATACTGCCGCCGGTCGATAAACAGCGAAACGCGGAACTGAAAACTACTGAGTTAAAGGAACGTGGACCGCTTTTATCTCAATAGTGATGCAGTAGTTCGAGAACAATATTTTTGGTCTTTATCTAGTTGATCACAACAATACTCGATTCATCATATTCGAGTATTGTTGATTACGTATTGTGAGTTTCACACTTTTCCAATGAACTTCCTCGAATGCAACATCGAAGACTTCAAAGTGCAAGGAAACTGGTGCGAAGGACGAAAGTGTGAAAGCGTACGCTCACAGCTACTTGTGCAAAGAAACATATCTTTTGGCTATTCTCAGTGTGTTCGGAAGAATCAATGTGATTATATTTCGAAGAGAAAGTTCATGGGACTAATTAAAAATCTAAAGAATATTCTGGACTTCTCTAAATGACAAGTATAGTGTAACTGTAACGTTTGTACGAGAATTTTACGATAAATAGAAAAAGGAACAGCACAAGACCGATGGAATAGCAACGAAATTTTTTTTATCGCAGAAACATGTGAATTCGTATGTCACGTCTTAATATAACGAATCCCACGTTTCGGAAGGTTGATGCACGATCCTCATGATCAAGTTTTAGGATTGAGTGTGAATAGTAACTTTAATAATAAACCGACACGATAAATAGAATTATTCGATGACATTAAAACGCGTGATTTTCGATTTTCAATCTCGCTCTTCGTCATTGTGTGTAAATAATTCCTTTCTTACCGTATGTATTTCAAACTGTTCTCGGAAAGACTTGTCATTCTTTGGATTTTACATCAACTATGGTTATAGTTGTGTGGATGAAAAAGGGCAGTCCTCCTGCCAGTCAGAATAATTCCAACCTGAAAATAAACACTACACAAAATAACAAAATGACAGCCAAAGGAATCTTAATTTGTCGTGATAATTCTCATCCTTTTCAAGAGCGTACATTAACATTAGAGCAACCTGTTAAAATTGGTCGTTCAGTAGCAAGAGCTAGAGCCACTCCAAATAATGCAATCTTTGATTGTAAAGTATTATCTAGAAATCATGCATCAATGTGGTATTCGGGTGGAAAGTTTTTTTTACAAGACACACGTAGTAGCAATGGAACATTTGTTAATAATGAAAGACTCAGTGCAGCTGGTTTTGAATCAGCACCTAAGGAAGTATATTCTGGTGACATAGTGCAATTTGGAGTGGATGTGATAGAAAATACAAAAAAAGTTACACATGGATGTATAGTTGCAACATTAAAGTTATATTTGCCAGATGGAAAAGAAGCTAAAGCTAGTCTTAATACAACAGTTGTGTCACCATTCACTGTTTCTCTGGAGGATGTGTATAATCTGAATCAAGTTATGCAAGAAGCCTCAAGGCGTGAAAAAGCACTTAATTCTAAGTTAGTATATCTTCAACAACTTGTAGCAAATACACGAAAAGCTGCCAATCAATCTTGGGAAACATTAATAGCAGAAGACCGGTTGTTATCTTGGGTGCAAGGTATGGAAAACAAATTGGCAGTTTATTCTAAAAATTACACAGAGGATAAAATTAGAAATGAGTTAGTGGCACTTCAAGAAGAAAAAATACAGTACCAAAATGCAGCAAAGGAGGCATTACAGAAAGTATTACAAGAGAAATTAGAGGTAACTCAGAGATTAGTTCAATTAGAAGGACGTTTAAATGAAACAGAAGAAGAGTGTCAAAGTCTTCATAATGTAGCAAAGTATACCCAAACAGAGCTTCAGGCGTTATGTAGTAAAAATACAGAAGTAGAAAAGATGCTTCAGGAAGCTACAAATAAATACAAAGAGAGCGAGGAACAAATAAAAGATATAGTACAAAGTGCAGAAGAGGAAAAGCAAGAACTTTTAAAGAGACTTGAAGATCAATCTAGAATCGAGAAATATTTGCAGGCAAGATTACGAGATTCCCGGTTAGATTCTGTTAATATCTATAAGCAAATCACTGCCCTTAGAAATTATATGCAAATTTTGCAAGATATGAATTCAAAATTAGTAACAAGTGACATCATAGATTCAAAGGATGAAGAAAACCCTATTGAAGCTATCAATATTATTCTTAATAAATTAAATTCCATTCATATTGACAATGTAGACATTGATGCAGAAACCAATTTTTATCCTTCAAAAGATCAACAAGATAATCAAATTAATTCACAAGATATTGATTCAAATCAGTTCAAGAATTCTGATAATTCCTTTTCAAAAGAACAATTAAATGATTCCTTGGCTAATAATAATGATAATTTAATAGAATATATTTTACCACCGCAATCTCGAAAAACTTTAGTTAATGGGAATGTAAATATAGATAATGCAGATATGAATTCAGAATCTGATGCAAATTCAGATGCAACAGATGATAGATGCAGTATTACCAGTGATGATACAAGTGAAAAATCTGTTATAGAAGTTAAAAAGGAAGAAGCTGTATATGAAGTAGCTGAAGAAATTTGTGTACCTTATAAAATGGAAGTTAGATTTTCATGTGAAGAAAATAGTAAAGAATTAGAAACCCCTCATTCTCCACAAGTTGTACAGAAAGTGAAGGAAAGTGAGGAAGATAAAGATAATGTTGACAATATAGGCAATGTTAAGATAACTTCAAATGAGTCTACTCCTATGGAAGTCAGTCAATATGAAAAGAAGGATGAAGCAGATAAAGATAGTAGTGAATTGGATGAAGAATGTGAGGAAGAACATTTAGAAGGAGATTATGTTAAAACATTAAAGCCATTGTCTAAAACTGATTCTGCACAGCAAATACATACAAGAGAATATATACTACAAACATTAATAGGATCTTTAGATTCATTAAAAGTTGAAGACAATTTAGAATCACAACAAGCTATTAAGAAAGAGTTAGAAAGGCTTAAGGATTGGTTAATTTGTGAACCTCATGAAGAAATTATCGAGAAATTAAGAGAACTTTATTATCGTGCCAAGAATGAAGCTCAAAGAATTCAGGAACTCCATGAAGAATTAGTTATTTTAAAAGAAAAGTACAATGCATTTGTTGAAGAAAAGGCAGAGCTTTCAAAAAAATATACAACTCTTAAAGCACAATGCGGTGATTTGTCAAATGTGAATTACACTGTACCAATACATTATGTGGCACCCATTGCAATTCTGTTAATATGGATGCTGCTTGAAAAAATATTTTAATGTTTTTTCTCCTTGTTTTTTGTATATAACATTTATGATTAATTATATTACAAATTTTTCTTATTGTTTGTTAAAAAGCTTTTGAGCAAACAAAATAAATGAAACTGGGTGATGTGTAATTTCAACAAAAAATTTGAACATTTTTATACTGACAAAATATTAAGAATTGTATATATTTTTCCGATACTGTTGTTAAAGCACCAATCTCAGAAAGCTCCTCTAACAAATTACAAAGATAATGCAAAGGTATACCACGTTACCATTTAAAAACAAGGAACCAAAATCAAATTAAACAGAGAGATTTGTAGCAACAAATATGTACATAAAACAAAATTCTAGGCTAGGAAAAAAGTGTATTAGAAAAAAAATATAGACAACATCATGTAAAATGTTCAACATGCTGCAAATTTCTATATCATATCTTCTTTAAAAAGAAAATGATATTAATCCCTATTTACGGATATTGCGCATTTTTATGTCATTATTTTTGCGATCAGTTCAAGCACTGCACGCCCAACGACTCAAATGTATTATTACACAAATTATAAATAACGTTTATATGCAAGGATCGATTTTTATAAATGCCCATCGATATATCCTGTCTTGATAAACTTTCTTTAATATATTTCTTAAATGCTCCGTATTTATTTTGAAAAATTTGGGAATTAACTTGTGTTCAAAGCATAAACCATCGCAACTAATTCGATTTCTCTAATTGTAAATTCGTTGATTCAAAGAAGCAATTTATTTAATGTTTTAATATTAATCGATTGTAAATTACAGCTTTCTTTTTCTTTTTACACGCGCGCGCGCGCGCGCGGTTGTTTTGTGTATATACATATAAATAATTTGTAACATTATTCGATATGAAGCTTTTACTTGATTAATAATTTGTTTTTGTATTCCCACTTTGTTATATGTGCTTTTCTCTCTCTCTCTCTCTCTCTCTCTCTCTCTTGCTGGTAGCATGACAATAGAAGCATATCCAATCAAGCGACCTAATAAACTTTAAGATATTCGAAAAAAAAACGATTCTTCAGTGCGAAATTTTCACTATGATTCTTCTTATAAATTAATGTACTCGAGCAGTTTTCCAGATACAATGGCCTAGGTGTCCCTTATAACGACGAAAAAAAAAAGACAAAAAGTAAAAAGGATGTTCTAGTTATACTTTTTCTATTTATTCTTTTTATACAAACGCGACTAAAATTAACCGTGTTTTCTTAACTAACCGGATAGTTTAGTTACAGTGCCATTGCCCGATTTATTGCTGCCCCTGTTATGTATAACAATTTAATACGATCGATCGTGTATAAATGAACGATGAATTATATTCAATTTCCCAAAAAATCACATTGGCCTGTGGCTTTATGGATGTTACTTTCTTGGTAGATTGAAGATTATATTAAGATCGTGAAGGTTTATATAAATGATAAGGTAATATTGTAAATAACATTGTTGATATAATCTTACTACTCGTGTAATAGTCATTATATAAAAAAAAAATAAAAATTAACTTAACTGAAGCTCTTATACTATTTTTTTTTATATACCAGAAACCTGTATTTTAGAATGAATCGATTTTCTCAACGGAAACGATTTTTTTTTTTTTTTATAAATGGTACGAATCTATGCGAAGAGGGAAACATTAGAAATTAACGTTAACTTGCAATTTTAGTTTATCTTATCTGTTGTATCAATATCTATGGTAAGAAAACAATAATTTAATTACTGTGAAGTATAATTATCGGTCGTGTAAATTATAATTATAGATCGAATATATGTACTTAATTATAACACCTGTGTATATTCCATTAAAAGAAAAAAGAAAAAAATGAAAAAGTGCAAAATTCGTTTGAGCTATTTTAAACAGTTGCAAAGTTCACATCACGTTTCCGTGGCATAATTTCGTTTTTGGTACAACTATACGTCAACTAAGAATACCTCCGCTACGGGGAAGTTGCGCAATCCTAATAAACATTTTAATCGTGCCATTTTTCCGTAGTATATAATTAAACAATTGTGCAACCGACGCTCGTTTCTTGCAACAGCGTTGTACAAATAAACAGTGTGACAGAAATGAAAGTAACGTTATTCTCACGTATATGATATAGACGTTAAATGTTGCAGGAACGTACACCGACCAGAGGAATGTAACATTTATATTTGATATTTCCAGATGTTTCCTTTTGCGATACGTTTGTATTTGTTGTGCTGCACGAATGCGAGAAAATGCAAGCCAAGCATGTTTAAGAATAACGAACTAACGACGCCCGCTTAGAATATTTATGAATCAAATTGTGCACCTATTTATTGCGAGAATGACTATTTTTTTACATTTCGAAATATTTTGCCAAAGAATGATTGGAAAAAAAGAAATATCAATGCGGGATAAGTCATTTCACTTTGTCAGTTTATTTTGTAAACATTAGATTCAATATGGTCGTTTGTTGTCGTTTCAACCGATCAACAATAAATCTGCGTACAAAATCCACGGTTTACCATGTTTGTATTGTAATATTTGTTTTATATTTTCAGCATAGACGTATAACACGTGTGAAGTAATCGATTAAGAATTACTTGCGAGGTATGACCGCAATGTATTATCGATGAAGAAGTTGAAAAAGAAGTCAGATAGTGCGAGAGGCGTGCAAACGAGCAAGATAGCAGGTGCAGTGAGTACAACAAGCGGCGATGCATCGCCCATCATCCGTGTGTGCAGAGATTTTCTGCGAAACGTGTGTCACAGAGGGAAACGTTGCAAGTACCTGCACGAACGGTCTGAGGACGATCCTGTAGAGGAGTACACATTTTGTCATGACTTTCAAAATGGAATGTGCAATTGGCCTGGGTGCAAGTTTCTTCATTGTACGGAGAGCGAGGAGAAGAGATTCAGAGCAACGGGAGAATTACCTGCACATATATTGAGCAGGCTGAAAAATAATAATGAAAAATCTGAGTATCCAATGTGCAAAGATTTTATCAAAGGTAGTTGCCAAAGAACGAATTGTAAATTCAGACACTGGAAGAACGAGGAACCACAGCACAATTTAATTACAGTTTCTCATCACAATGTGTCCAGGCCACAACACAATTTCAATGGTACTAGCAATGGTGAGAATCGCAGATACGAAGAAGATAGAAAGTAAGTTTTCTGAAAATAATGTTATTCTTTTACTTCCTCTTGATTTTCTTTTCCCGTTTGATGTAACCTTAAAATTTTTCTATTTAACATTTATAAAATCTTATATAAAATAAACGTTTAAAGTATATCTTTAATTATATATCTATATATGCTTATAGCTTTCACTGGCAAATGGAAGATCAACATAACTTAGTCACAAGTAACGGTTACAATGCATCTTCGCATCCGCCTGATTACATAGGACCTCCTGAACCAAAGAGACGAATAGTTTCTGGCGAAACTGTTGTTCATTTTGAAGCTTCACCACTCGTAGGCCAACATACCGCTCAACCAGTCACTCCAGGGTACTATTATCCGGTGATACCACGCAACGAAGCCAGAGCAATTGTTTTGGAAGATGAGAATGCGTTGTTAAGAAAGAAAATAGAGGAATTAAAAAAGCAAGTTAGTTTAATTTAGTTTCGTCATTATCAATTATTTGCTTTAAATTTTATATGTACAATTTATGCATTTATAACATTTATTTATTTAGGTTAGTGACCTAACAGCTACTAACGAGTTTCTTTTGGATCAAAATGCTCAGCTAAGAATGTCAGGAAAACGAACTGCGAATGTAACAGCTGTTACAGTTCCAGCAGTCACTATTACGAATACTGTTCCACCATCACAAGCTCCGACGCCTCAACAAATGGTGAATGCAGCAGTAGCTGCTGGTACTCTACGTACAGTTACTGCCAGTGTTGCAACTGTTCCTGTAAGTATAGCCACAGTCGCACCTGTTTCCATTGCAGCGGTTTCAATGGCTCCAGTATCTATACCGCCACCCATCGTTACAATGGCTCAGCAAACAAAGGTCCACAAGCAACTAATCAACAGCCACCTAACACACAACAACCTGCCAGTTTACCCCTTTCTATATCTGGTGCTACTGCGCCATTGGTTTCTTATCCTATTATGACTCAAGAACTTAGGCCCGTCTTGCAGTAAATAAATTATAGACGAGAAAGAAACATTAAATAATACCTCAAGCACATAAACGAATCGAGGATGCGTCTTCTGCATTCAGTCTTTCAAGATAATACCGTATTTCTACTATTTCTTTGAGCGTAAATGGTGAATTTAAAAAAAAAAAAAAAAAAAAAAAAATAGACAATGTCTACAACTGATTAAAAACGTATTCTTTAGCAAAATGCAATGTTGAAAATATCACCACAGTAATTAAAACACACGATGTCCTAGATATTTATGTAGAAACTAGTAGAAATTATCGTACAGGACAAACGTAACGATCATGACTGTTTTTTAGCAGTACGAGTTAAAGAAATACCCTTGGATTGGAGCCCTTTAAATTTAGAATATTCGTTCCTTTCAGTAATTTACTTTGATAAAGGTAAATGTTGACTATATTAATATGTACAACACAATAAATATCCAAAGTGTGTATAGATTTAGATTAATAAGAATGATGTTGATCTAAAACCATGTCAAATGGTTAAAAATGGTATTCTCCTATTCTTTTTTTAATATCCTAACATCATGAAGATACAAATAATTTTGTAGCATTAAAAAGATAATCAGGTGCGAGTAAAAATAATTGTAAATTAAAAAATGTAGGTAAAAAAAAACTCATTTAGGCTAATATGTTAAAATAAGTACAAAATAGAATGAAGAATGTAAATGAATTATATTGAAAGTTCAAAGTTAAGGTTTACCGCTGCTCTGAAAACGGTGGTGAACCTTACGACTGTTCTGTACGCAATGCTGTAAATAGTATTCTATTGCTTCCTCGTTTTCTTAGAAAGAATTTTTATACTTCCATTTTTAATAAATAAGTTAATTATTCTTATAAAATAGTGATATTTTAATAAATTAGGTACTTATCATGGTCTTTTGTGTTTTTACAATTTTACTTAAGTGGCTTTGGGTTCAGGTGATGGAAAGTAATGACTGTGGATTTAAACCTGACCCATAAATGTAAGAATCAGGTACACAGACTTGTAATGTGTATACTGTAAACCAAATAAACATATATCTGTTGAAGTCATGTTATCAGTCATGGGTTGATACATGTGTGTATATTTTACGTAATTAGTATAAGAAATTGAGCAATAAGTACTGCTGTATTTTATATATGCATACAAATGTATAATCTTTTATGTATAACTTTATGTTAATAAGCACTTCATTAAAATGATAAATCTTCTACCTTAAATTCTTTAAAAGTAATGCTCATATCATATTCTCCATCGAGTTAAAGCTTCAGATATATAATAGGAAGATTTTTTTTTTTAATACTTCAATTTATTTCAAAAAATGATCAAAAAGTATATTTTACGTTCAGTCAATGTGTATATCACTATGTTCAGTTTACCATTACATTCTATGTTTTTAGTAAACCCTGACAATACAAATGAAAACGCATAATTTTCGGTGCTTCAACACTTACAGAAGTAGTATTTTTTGCTTTTGAAATTGTAAAGACATAAATTATCCTGATATAAATTAAATTAAAGTTATGCACAAAATTATTGATTTAAAACGTACAAAATTAAATATCTAAAAGTTGAAAAGTTACTTAGTAAGATCTTACATTTGAAAGTTTGAAGTACATTTTCACATAATACATTTATGATTCAGGCATAAAATCACTTTTTGTGTTAATTATTTTAACAGTCTGCATATTTACATACTAGATATAAAAATTGTTTCTGTATAATATCTGCATAACAGTTACATTTATCAACTAGCGGTATTCTATTGATTCAAGTGCATAAAACAAAAATTAGTTACAACCTTACACCTTGTACTAATATGTATATTTCATTTTCTAACAAAGAAAACTGCGAAACACAAGATGCATTTTGTATTATCACAGAAAGTGTTATTAATCATTTACAAAGAAAAAAAAAAGAAAATTCTAACAAATAATACCATTACATTCAAAATTTTTAAAATATGTTGTAATGGTTATATGTTATTTTAAACTATTTTACCAAGTTATATGAATAGATTCATTTATAAATTTAATAATTGCAATATTAAGATCCCAACATAATTTGCTATCTGTATTTATAAATATTTGTAAGTGAACAATTTTTATGTTACATTTGGTAAAGACCGTGAACTTCTATTTCTTAACCAATATGCTCCTGCTAATAAAACAGTACAACAAAATCCAACTATAAAACGTAATTTCCAATGATATTTGGAAGCTCTTAAGACATTGATAACTCTAATAGTTTGTTCTCTGGTATCACGTTCGCTACTAGAATTTTCAATAACAAAATTTGCCATTTCTGCTTTTCTTTCCAATGACATTTGTGCTGCAATTCTTAACTTTGCTTTTGCTTCTGTGAAGCCTGTTCTTTCCATAAGTCGTTGTAGTTGTAAGTCTTCTTCACTAAAATTAAATATATCGATTTTGTTTTAGTTGTAAGATATTTACTAATCATGTCTAGTTATTTGTATAATTCGAAGTAAATAAGAATAATCTTACCAAATTACAACAATTATTTTGTGTAAATAATTCAACATATGTCCTGTTTCAAATAACAATGGCAAATCCATGACTATGAATTGATGACCTTGTAGGAAATACTTGAATGTTTGCCAATATATTTCTTTATATATATCAGGATGTGTTATAGCATTTAATTTTTTTCTTTTTTCAACATCATTAAATATTATGTCTCCAAGTTTAGCTCTGTCAAGTTCTTGTGTATCTAAGAATACTTCTGGACCAAATTCTTTGTGTATTTTGTGCCAAGCTGGTTTTCTGGGTTCCACAACTGCATAATATGAAACGTATAAATTTTTTAATAAATTAATACAACGTATTTTCTTTTAGGCACATATGCAATAAACTAGAAATTATATAAACAACTTATATATTATGTAAAACATGTAAAAGAAATCATTTTATCAACAGTATGATTCATATATCACATTTATAAGTATAAAATTTTATTTTATTTCTAACCTTTTCGTGCAATTTGATCAGCATCAATGACAGGTATACCGAATTCACGAAAAACAGAAGCAACGCTACTTTTCCCAGTAGCTATTCCTCCTGTCACACCCACTAAAAACATTTTTCTAGAATTTATTTATGTGTGATACCCTACAATTAAATAAACATCGTTAGTGTTATTGGCATTGTAAAATTTAGTGCTATTTAAGATTAGTCATGTTACGACGGTTTTCACTGTGACTGAAAGTTTTTGTATAATTTTGGTGACATATTATTGAAATTGAGAACATCGACCAATCAAAGATACAAGAAACAGAAACAATAAATTAAATAATGATTTAACTGGTTATAATTTAATGTAATTGATAAGAACATACACTTTTAGTTTAAATTGTGATTAATTTTGGAACACAATGCTTTAGATTTTGTGAGAGTTCCAATTATTTATTATTTGTGTAAAACGTTATACAGTATAAGCTATTAATAAAAATGATTTATATGACAATATTAAATTTTTTTCTTTAA